CCAAATGTTGGTTGATAACGCGACCAGAAGTGGCCCGGCATATCGTCGTCGTCCGATTCGGCGTGGTCCCTTTTTGGCGCCAATTGGCAATCACCGGTTTGACGACGGCTCTGAATCGGTATTTTTCTCTTTCTTTCGTTACACTTTATTCTGGTGTATATACTTCTGCTTCTGTACTTCTGCGATGTGTACTTCTGCGACCTGCGACCTATAAATACTGTACTATACTCTCAGTTCGAACTCTCCTAGGTCGAATTAAAGGTTCGAATTAAATTTTCAAATTAAATTAAATCGAAAAGGTTCGAATTAAACCGGAACCTTAATTTTTAGAATTCGGCCTCATTTATGGAAAATCGGAGCGGCGATTCAGCAGCTGTGATTATGCCGGAAAATGAGATGCATTCGAAACAAGCTTCAGGCATTCTTTATTTATTGCTTTATTCTCGCAATTCGACGCTGCAACGTTTCTGCGCTTCTGTGCAACTCGGATGCCTTTGAAGAAGCTGGAAAAACGTTCAATGGCGTTTTTTCAGCTTCTTCAAAGGCATCCAAATTGCACAGAAGCTGCATGGAAATCTCCTGCATTATCAGTGTCGTCAGCAGCCTACATTTTAGTACTGGATGTATCGGACGTGACGGTGAATACTCCGGCGAAGAAAAGTGAGTTGACTGACACAGAAATGCGTGTGGCGGTCGACCATGACGAATCTGAAACTTCCGCTCCCCCGATACATGTCGTAGCCAAAAAAGGTTTCCGAAAGCGGCAGTCTGTTGTACTATGCGCTCGGAAAATCGGTATCCCCTTTATTTTCAAAGATTTTTCCATTCGCTCATAAGTAATCTGTTAATGGAAGAGTATTTCAGTTCGTCCCGAGGAAGCTGCACAGGGATTACGTCGCTCAACGCGGAACCGTGTGGCCCCAATTCGTCGTTGGCTCGGCGAAAAGCCGATATATCGCAGGGATGAACAAGGAAGTTGGTGTTGAAATGTTCCATTGTTCCAGTTCATTTTGCGTGACATCAGTGATGTGTGTGTGTTTTTTCAGCACTGGAATTAGTTGGCGTCGAGGAAGCCGTCATTAGGGACCCGTTGTTAGTAAAGTATAACGCAGTTGATATGAGTCAGATCATTGAGCAACAAACACGAGAACAAAGTAAGCAACTATTGATAGAGAATAATCGAGAATTTAAGAGAATTCTGAGCGGAGACGAATGCATAATTACGAATGACGAATGAATGAAATTCGAATGATTAAAGAATTACGAATGATGAGACGAATGAAATTCCTTCTAAATTAAAAATTGGCTTCCAATTGGCGATGATGCTTTCTGAAAGCCATCATTTGCGAATCATCGTCAGTTGTTACTTACCGTTCAGTAGTCAAGCGAATTCTTCCTCAGCGTTGACTCTTTGTGTGAGTGAGCACTTGGGAGTTGCCGAGGCAATTGCGCCTGTCAGTAGCAGACACTTGCTGGGAAGAGTATTTCTGGCTCCTCTTCGGAAATTGCTTGGAAGTAGGCTGACTTTCTAGTACATATGCTAGTCACCACAGAGTGCATAAGCAGTTTGCTGCGCCAAAATTTGAAAGCGGGATGCGCCTCAGCGCAGCTTGAATCACTGGGATAATGTTGTCGGTGTCTTATCATTGCCTTCTTTAGGACGGCGTTCCCGTGCTCGACGACGGCGTGAGAATGCTCGCCGAAAACAAGCAACAGAATTGGTTGAGGCATTAATGGTGCCGCGGTTGACACGGTGATGATTTCAGTTGTATGTTTACGACGGCTGTGGTTCTGATTGTAAAGAAGTTTGTATTTTCTAGAACGTAAATGTTCTGTGAAACCGTTTGTATGCGTGTCGCGGAGGTATCCAACAGATATCCAGTTATTCAACAGGTAACCTCAATAGGTATCCAGATGGGAGGGCAAAGAAATTCGATTATCCGCAGTACTGAAAAGCCGGATAGCTTATTGGGATTTGAGTTTCAATGATGTGCCACCGTTCACCGGAAAATCGAAAAACTTTTTTTGCAAGCAAAGCGGACTGAGAAAGCCTGTTGTTGACCTGTTGCGCGCTGCTCCAAAAGTGTGATATGCAAATTGTAGTTGAGTGAGAGGATAAACAAGGAGGTGTTTTAACGTTTTTGGCGATGTTCCAGTCTTTTCCTCATATCTATTTCCTCACGCCAGTCGCAGATCTCTTGTATTTCGTTGTCATTTCTCGCAAACATCGCATAAAATCATTTATTTACTTTCTTTTATAACATTTTACAATATTTTTGACCTGTATCACAGGTCAAAAATACTGTAAAATCACTTGTAACCTCTGTGACCTTAAAATAACCTTGTAACCTTAAAATCACTTGTAATCAATTGTAACCTCTGTAATCTACCTCTGTGTCACAGTAACATGTGCGTGGCATAAAATCATTTATTTTCCACTTTCTTTTATAACATTTTACAATATTTTTGAGTTTCTCGAAATCGAGGGAAGCTATTTTGGAGGAACTGAAAGGACGGCTACTACGTGGGTTTGTATGAGCAATTCCTAAATCATTGGATGTGCATTCATTTGGCGCTTTTCCGTGAATGTAGGGGCATTTGCTGGGTCTTCAGAGTGATGGTTTTGAGGCATCACATCGAAATGAAAAGATTTTTCTGTTAAGAAGCCCAACAACGATTGAGTTTTGTGACAGAGTTTTAAGTACTGTTCACATCTTAAGAGCTCGAAACCCGTAAGGGCGAGCAGGCTGTCTACGCGTCAAGCCTCCTAATGATGAAGATCGTGTGATGAAATGTATGTGCGACGAGAAGGCGAGAACGTGGAACGACGAGGCCTCCCTCGTAGAAAGAGTAGTTTTTTGGTACCACTACGCATTTTGAAGTGGACGGGCAGCGCCTACCATTTCTTGTGGAACGTCTCCTGATAAGTGCTGATGCTGTACGGCGACAGTGACGGAATTATGCAAATAAATGGCAACGCGCACCAGACTAGCCGGTGCGATCATGCGTTTTGTGCAATTCAGCC